GCCAGCAATCCTAACATATGCAGTATTCAAGTACGTCTCACCTTCTGGATGTTTGCTTGTACAATGAAATTGGAGAACATTAAATTCTTGATATATGAATCTAGTATCGGATTTTAGTTGAGAAGGTGGGATGTGAGAAGCAAATACTTTTCCAGTCACAATCCAGCCCTTGACAGGAAACAGGACAGGCTACCGACTTTAGTGGAGGCCACATTCTGGTCCAACTCAGTAGCCATTGCTGCAGCTGCCAAATATGCTTGTTGCAAGAAAATGAAAATATATTTCATGTTGACCAAGGGAAATGGAGAACTGGAATGTAAGGACAGGTAGGGCAGATGTTAGATTTTAGATTTTATTGTCACGTGTCCTCAAGAACAGAAGTACAGGAGTACAGTGAAAAGTGTATAATGGTGCCTAGGTACAAAGATACCTAGGTACAAAAGCCTGAGATACAGACAAGTAGGAGAAGTATAAATGCAATTAAAATTTCATTGCTGTGGAATGGACTTCCTTCAAGACTTCCACTTGTTTCAATTAAATAACACTTACTTTCGCAGGGCTGATCCTGTTCCTGACAGGCTGAAGCTGTTCACCTTCACAACTCCTAACACCTGCCCAATTCAAAACTGAAATCTTAGAAGCTGAGCTGGAAAGACGCTGCAAAAATTTCTAGATACGTCAGTTAATAATGTAGGTAATTGTACTTTTCGGCCCTCCCCTAACCCTGCCCCACCTCAAACAGCGGGATCAGGAATGAAGTCAGAATATCATCACACAAAATGTTGGTGCCTTTTCTTTGTCATCTACCACCACTTCAACTCGATTCAGACAATGAAAATTGGACCCTAAAGTTGGACTATATGGTGTCACATCATGACAGGGTCATCTCCGTAATCTTCACACCCAGTCAAATCTTCCAATCTCTGGATCTTTGGGAGTTGAACATATAATGTGAGAGATAACAAGGTGTAGAGCTGGATGAACACAGCAGGCCAAGCAGCATTGGAGGAGCAGGAAGGCTGACGTTTCGGGCCTAGACCCTTCTTCGGAAAAAAATGTAAGATGTGTGTTCGCATTCTGTGGATGTCCTAACATGTGAATGTACATGGGAGACAACAAGGAGCAGAAAGGCTGACGTTTCGGGCCTAGACCCTTCAACAGAAATGGGGGAGGGGAAGGGGGTTCTGAAATAAATAGGGAGAGACGGGGAGGCGGATAGAAGATGGATAGAGGAGAAGATAGGTGGAGAGGAAACAGACAGGTCGAAGAGGCGGGGATGGAGCCAGTAAAGGTGAGTGTAGGTGGGGAGTTAGGGAGGGGATAGGTCAGTCCAGGGAGGACGGACAGGTCAAGGGGGCGGGATGAGGTTAGTATGTAGGAGATGGGGGTCCCGAAATGTCAGCCTTTCTGCTTCTATGATGCTGCTTAGCCTGCTGTGTTCATCCAGCTCTGCACCTTGTTGTCTCGGATTCTCCAGCATCTGCAGTTCCTGCTATCTCTGATTCAATGTACAGGGGAATTGACCTTCAACTTTTAAACTTCCAACTTCCTGGGACCTCCATAAAAAGCTTCCAGTCCTGATCCAGAGTTGGAGACTTTAGACCGTTCCTGTGCTACTTATTTGGGTAGCTACCTAGGAAATGTTAGACAGATTCAAACCTAGTAACTATACAAGTGAAACCTTCCTCTACAACCACCACAATTACCCCTTGCATGAATCCACTGAAATGCTGACTATCAACCCAAGCTGACTAACCTCCCGAGCTGATCCAACTACATCATGAACCTGACCTAACTACTCTTCCCAGTGTGGCCTGCCTAACCTCCCACCACCACTACACTATTGACTAACTCCCCAACCCAACTAACCCAACTGTTACTCAACCCAACTATTCCTCTGACCCAACTTGACTTTTCACCACTGCCCAACCACTAACTATGAATGAATAAATGAATTAATGAATGAATTAGCTTTATTGTCCCATGTACTCAGATGAGTACAGTGAAAAGTTTACAAGTCGCCACTTTCGGCACCATGTTAGGTACAAAGATGCCTAGGTACAGCTCACCTCCAACCTTGACCTGGCCCTTCTACCCCTTGTCACAGCCTGGCCAGCTGAAACCCCAGCTATGACCTCCCCCAACTAGACCCGACTATCCACTAACCCCACTAATTCTCCTGACCACCCACCCTCCTCCTGACCAGAAATCTATCCCTTACTACCACTGCCAGCCTGAACCTACTACCTCCCCCCTCTCCGATCTGACTGCTCTTTCCCACCCATCAGATTACACACTCCACCACCAGGCGGTGACCAACTATTCCCTCCCTCCGCACATGCTCCCCCCACCTCCACCAATTCACTGTCCTTCATGACCACCTAACCACACCCTGACTAAATATCCACTCACATACTTATCTCTACACTGAACTCCCCTAACCCACTTCACCCAACCTAGAATTAGAATTAGAAGTAAGTTTATTGGCATGTGTACTCAAGTACAGAAGTACAGGAGCACACTGAAAGGTTTATAATGTCGCCCCTCACGACGCTATCTTCGATACAAAGTACTTAGGTACAAATCTTAGATACAACATAGACAAATACATTTTTAAAAAGTTATATCACCTTACAGTGATTCATAGTATAAGTTAGAAAATAAGAAATAAAGTTAAAAGGATAAACATTACAGTCAGATAAACAGATTACAGATAAACATTACATTGCAGTAGATCAGCGCAGAGGGTTTTCACACATGGTCTGACTGGCCTCACTAGCCACTGCACTGGTTCCTAGTCCAACTTCTGTCCCTACTCTGCTCCATGCCTCTCGCCTACTCTGCTCCATGCCTCTAGCCTACTCCGCTCCATGCCTCTAGCCTACTACGCTCCATGCCTCCAGCCTACTCCGCTCCATGCCTCCAGCCTACTCCGCTCCATGCCTCCTCACCTACACACCCTCCGATCTACTAACCCTACCAATCTGAGCCACCTTACCTCATTCAGTTACCCACTTTAATAACTCACCCAGTCACCTACTCATCCATTTAATAACTGGATCTTTAAACTTATCATCTGACACCTAGTGCTGTTAATATGAATGATGTCCTGCCATCCCCTGACTCTACTCCACCCCAAAGGAGTTCCCAAGGGATACTATACTGCACATTTCTCTGGCAGCTTGAGATCAGAAAATCCTGGAAGAAATGTGCAGCATTGTGGAGTTGGGAGAAATTTCCGACTCCAGCAGCAATCCAAGTGTCACTGTCCCAACTCGGAGCAACCCGGCCATTATACAGAGGCAGCAACACAAGTGAGAACAGATGGGCCTTAAACAGTACTATGGCATGTTAATTTCACTGCAACCATTTCAAACTTGTATCGTTGTTTCATTCCTGTCTCAAATTAACATTTGCATCTAGCCTTTATCACTTACTAACTTGACTTGCAGAGCTTTGTAACAGTAACGAACAAAACTCAATAGCAGACTGCAAACTATCAGGTCTGGTTATCCGTGGGTCATGATATTTATAAATATTCATCACAACCCATCCATATAGTTTCTCAGAACTGAAAAATTCACAAATTCAACCAACAAATTCTCAACAATTCATTTTGAACATCAGGGGATTTTTAAAAAAAAAAAATGCCTTTTGCAGGATTCTCTCCTCATAACCCTGTATTCCAAAACTATTTTCAAAATCACACCGAGTTTTATATCATTTCTGTACTCTTGCTGTTTTCTAATATTCCAACCTCTTTGTTGATGTTTTCCCTTCAATTGCTTCTAAATGATTTATCAAAATAATTTCTATTTCACTTGAGTAGTTTCAAATCAATGTTACACATATATTGATCAATGGCACACATATATTGATCAATGGCATAATGCCAGCTCTTTGATCATTAACAATATAACTATGGTGTAAATCGTAAAACTAAAAGGCGAGTCAATGTACAGGTCATTGTGTTTATTATTTGTCTTGCATCAACTTGGAACATGAACACAACAGCAGAAAACACATCGCACTACCTCGTCTTTTGGATCTGAAGCAAAAACAGAAACTGCTGGAGAAACTCAGCAGGTCTAGCAGCATCTGTGGAGAAATACAGTTAACATTTTGAGTCCTGTGATCCTTCTTCAGAACTCAAATTCTGGACTCAAAACATTAATTCTGCTTTTTCTCCACAGATGCTGCTGGACCTGCTGAGTTTCTGCAGCAATTTCTGTTTTTGTTTTAGACCTTCAGCATGTGCTTTTTGTTTGTTTTATTATCCTCTTTTGTATCTGTTGCTTTGATTCACTTATTATCATTCTAATGAGAGCTCCTCTGCTGATATTTTCCCATCCCTAAGTGAAATGTTTACCTTCCACTCAGAGTTCTCTTATAATGAAGTGGTTAAAATGGGACTCAATAATGTGACAGTTTAAAAACCTATATTCCATAACTAAATGGCATTTTACAGTGTAAATGGACTTCCTCCTCTCCTGCTTATCCTTTAACTTTAAAAACAATGTTATTGTGCAATCTTGCCATTTTATTTCCCTATTGAATAAATAATGTCCACTGTTGTTAGTAACCAGGCTACTGCACGATTTTACGAAGCAGTATTAGAGATAATAAAACTGAATGTTCAAGCTTGGCTTCGTATTCCTAACTACTGCTTTACAAAAGAAATCAGTTGGAATGTTAATCCCTACTGAAGTAAAAACATCGGTGCTGTTCTGTTTGCATTACAGTTGTGATTTTTCTATTTGCATCAGTGCTGGTCCATTTGATATACCCAGAAAAATTACGAAAACTGTTGCATTCCATCATACTTAATGAGCAAAGCCTAAATTCTTGTACTTTTGAAGGTTTTGCTTTGCAGTAATCGAGATAGCAACCAAAATTGGAAAACATAACATGGTCAGATAGATTAGACTGTCATGGGTCAGTAAATGTGTTGATTTGTAAGCAATAAAGAGCGGTACACAGAACTTCACTTTGTCACCTACCGTGCACTTGTTTGGCTTTTCTCCTGAATGCACTCTCATATGGATCAATAGCTTGTAGCGAGCATTAAATGGCTTATATCGGCGTGGACAACCAGCCCAGAAGCAAGTAAAGTCCTCTCCTTTACGTTGGTCTATATGCGCTTTTTCGATATGCCGTACAAGCTCTTCCTGTTCATCATACATTGCACTGCAGTCTATCCAGCGACAGCAATGCTTTCCATTCACTCTCGATGGCTCACCATCCTCATCCAGCTGTGTCCCTTGTGGTGAGGGCTGTCCATGTGGCTGGGAATGGGGCATGAGGTGCTGGTGGGCATGGTAAGGTGGTGGAGGTCCCTGGGGCAGTGTAGGAATTTGCATGCCTGACGAGAATTCATCCAGTTGATCATTTTTGAATACGTCATACTGCTGATTACCAATCACTGAGATACCCTGTTGAACAACCATGTTGTTCATCACCATGGGGTGCATGGAAGACTGCTCCAGCTGTTGCATCCTCTGGTACACGCCATTACTTGCTTCAATGTCAGTGAGTGTAAAGAGATTACGCTCTTTACTTGATGCATTGTAGGCCTGAGGGATGCAGCTACCTCTCACTCCAAGGAAGTGCCCACACACTTCAGGCTGGGGGGAAGCATCAGCTGGAGAGCCCCTGGAACCATTAATGTAGGCAACCAATGACGTGGGAGATGTACGGATAATTAGGTCGATTCCAACGCCGTCCGAGAAAGGGGAGGTGGAAAGACCTCTTTTTCTTGATCGGGCAGAGTTAGATCGGGCAGAATTACGAGAGCTGTTCTCATTCCCAAACAGGTAGGATGGCAAAGAGTTGGAAGTGCTGTTATTTGACATGGCAGTTCCAGGTGGAATACTCAGCACATCCCCGAGTTCACTGCCGTTCTGAGAACCTTGGTTTGATGGGAGTGATGGAAGGATTGGGTAACCATGAGGCCACTCTTGCTTCACATTCAACGTTGATTGGCTTTCTATAAGGCTTAGTGTAGTTGAGCCTAGTGATCCACCTGAGGTAATGGATCTGTAAAGTAAACATAAAACAATAAGACAATGGAAATATATTCAAAAACGTCACAAAGTTTTTTTCTCCTCACAGGTGACAACATATCAGCTGTCATCTGAAATATCTGTTTCTGTGGAAAAATATTCCTTGAATTTGCTCAAACTAAACATAATTAGACAATTTCCTTTCTGTAGGAAGCATCTTAACTGTTGGGGAATGGACGTTCATGTTTCACAAAAAAAAGCTCAACACAATTCACTTGAAGTAACTACACAGAGCTTAAGCATTGTATGATGTGCCACTTCAACACACCACCCTCCTGTTCCCTGGCCAACATCTCTGACTCAAGCTTACTGCAGTGCTCCAGCGAAGCTCAGCACAAGCTGGAAGAACGGCACCTCATTTTCCACTTGGGGACTCTACGGCCTTCTGGACTCAATATTGAGTTCAACAATTAAGAGCATGAGGCACCTTCTCCATGTTCTTACCCCAACCTCCACACACCAGGCCTTGTTATCACATGGTCTGCTATTACACGCAACCTGTTGTTAGCCACTAATAGTCCCTATTAATAGCTATTCATTCTTCTATGCTGATCATTACCCACTTCTTTGTCTGTCCAACTGTGCTTCTTTCTCTTTAGACTCTGTCTCCACCTATCATTTACTCCTTATCCCCTCCCATATCTTCTGTATATAAACCAACTTTTTCCTAGCTACCATCAGTTCTGAGGAAGGTTAGTGTAGCCAAACTGTCAACTCTGACTTCTCTCCACAGATGCTGCCACAGCTGCTGAGCTTTTCCAGCAATTTCCGTTTTTGTTTGTGCATTGTATGAATGGGGACCAGGCACAATTGATAAAATTGCAAGATTTATTCAGACTGAAGAGAGATCTTGGCATTCTAAGTTTTCAAAAAATTAGCTTATAAGAGAGCTGTACGATGGAACTCAAAAATATTGTGATATAAGTTATCGGAAAGGCAAAATGCAATAAGTAACAGCTGCAAACAGACAAAGGGATTGCAGTGCCCCTTTAACCAATGTCCCTTCTTTCAGATGCAGGCATCAAGAAAATTTCATGTTGTCCATTTCTGACAATGATTACAATGTACAGCCCATGCTAAGTGCACTGCTTGATGGCTGTATGCCAAAGCAGGCATGAGAAGAAAGCATGAATTTAAAGTAGCCTGCTCCACTTAAAAACAGCCTGCACCTGCTTAAGGAGAGGTACATTTTATTTAGAACAGGTGTTTGAAATTATTCTAGCAGTCAGCCTGATCCAAGAGATTTTGAGGTAGAGTGTGAGCTCTAAGCTTTACCAAAGTAACATCAAAAGTCTTGGTGTCAGATGTAGACCTGGGAGCAATGTCCTCTTCCAGTCAGAGTGAGGAGTCTCTGTGGTCAAACAGAAAGCAGCAAGACCAGATAGATGCACAGGTCAATGTGTAGCCTCTATTATCTTTTGCAGTGCTGAAAGTAGTTTAATGACCATACGAGAGTGGTCAAGGCCAGTGAGTGCATCTGCAAATCCTGCCAACTAACCTCACATATTCTTCAATGCATCAGATCCTCATTACTCTTGCATGAACAATCTCTGTCAATTGCATTTAAACATTCATCGTACATTTTCAAACAAAGCACTGCTGCAAACCATATGTTCACAACTCACTGTGTGCACTGCTAACTATTCAACCATGACTGTCACATTGAACAGACATGTATTGCACCTCATTCAACCCAGCATCAGCAGTTCTTACTATCTCTGAGTGAGTTATAACCCCACTGCGAAGCCTCTTCTAGCGATGCCTACCTTGAAGAAGTTATCCTCCTCCCTCCAGAAAGACCTCAGGGTATCTCTCTCACACCTATCCGTTCCTCCCACCTCACTGACCAATCCCCACCACTACCGACCTGCACCCCCTGTCTCTATTTATTTCAGAGCCCCCTTGCCCTCCCCTATTTCTGAAGAAGGGTCCTGACTCGAAACATCAGCTTTCCTGCTGCTCTGATGTTGCCTGGCCTGCTGTGTTCCTCCAGCTCCACACCGTGTTACCTCATTCACTGATGCAGAGCTGTCACTTTTGCAGGACAAAGCAATGCACAACGATAGTCAACATCAACGAGCGAGCGGGCCTGGGTAGGGAGACATGCCCTCGCCCCGATAGAGCAGACCAATATTAGTGCAACCATGAGCAACATTAGCTGATAATGGGGTGAAAGCAGTGAAGATGACTTTGCCTCCTGCCTCGTCCTCCTTCTCTCATTCCATAACATCTTCCGATTTACAAATTCCTGGTGGGGAAAGCATTATTCTTGCATTTATTCAAAACAACTCTGCCACTGTGTCTATCCTAATTAACAGACCAAAGGGGTTTAACCTGATCATCAGTGTGTAGCAGCACAATGTGCAACAGGAAGAGGAGACTCCTGGTGATGAAACGTCATCATTCAATGTCACAGCTGCAGACATCAAATCAGATACTTGCATGGCTCATGGTTTAGAAGGTAGCTGTGTGTGGCATGACACAGGACACAGGGCACAGAAACCCTGCAGTCAGGGCACAGTGTTAGGTGCTCGTTGTCAAAGGCTGATGGATAAGCTCAGCAAAATGCTGGATACATTGGTGAAAATCTTTGAGCATTATCACGGAGCACAGAGATACGAGTTTGGCACACACTTTACACACAGCTTGGAGTCCATCCTTTCAGCGAGGATACAAGTGGTGGCTGATTCCATGTGCACATTTGCAAACCTACCTATGCTGCAGCATTTGGTTCCTCTTATCCCACTGCAGTATAACAGAAGTCACCTAAGGTTCAAATGGACACTCTAGACCAAATACTGCAAACTCCTGACTGCTGACTGCTGATAGCAATGGTTGAAGGAATTTGCAGAGTCTCACAGCAACCCACTAGCCTGCTGTCTGACCCACTACCAGGCTTGCTGAGGTGCTTGCCCAGGGAATGGAAATTTGGTGCCCATTAACCTACTGTCCTGTCTCAGGGTGACAGTGTGCAGGCTTCCAGCACTGCGGTTCAGACTGAATGCCTGCTGTTGCACATCAGTTGGACAGCTCAGACTGTTGCTTCCGCCTGTTCTGATGTAGCGCAATCTGAGCGAAAAATGTCTGAGATGATCCTCCAAAGACCAGTACAATCGTTCCCCCCTACCCCGGTTAAAGTCAGCAGAATGTTTCCAGCCACCCTGTAACCATGGAAGTGGCACTATGCAATAGCAGCGGAACAGGCAACAGCAGTAAGGAAATGCACCAACCATAATTAGTGGATTATTGTATGCATAGTGGATAGTGCATTTGATGATATCGTTTGGATTATTTGTTTTATGGTTTTGATTCTGAGTCGTGCCTGACGACAGGGTAATTATCATTAACCGAGTGGAATCGCATCAGCTGGGGATCTGGAGTTGTGCTCATTGGTGCTGTAGTTGGATGAGCTCATCACAACACCTACCCACTCATTATGGGAGACAGGGGACTGCATTCACTTCCCCCTTCCCGCCCACATCCCCTCCCCCCGCCGCCCCCCCCAACTCCCTTGCTCCTCTTCAACTGTTTGCCATAAACCTGGTGAAACATGCTGTGAGGAGCCTCATGATGGTAGGATGGCTCAGGATGCAGGAGACTATGGTGACACATGGTGAGAATTCCTGGTTCAAGTTGTTAATCTGGTCCAATCAGGGAGCCCCTGCTGACAGAAAGAAAGGGGAGTGTCAGAGCTATAGACACTGTGGTATCTGACTCTGAGTAAGTCAGAACTAAATGTCTCGGACAGTTCATGAGTAAATAAAGTTGAGTTGCTGCTGAAACTTGTGGGTTCATCCTCTCCATCAAGCATTGCCGAGTTCTCAGAATCAGGAATGGACATGATGGAAGTAGCTGCTTCAATGTCCTTATACCACTGAGGATGGCAAACTGTCTGATGTGGACAAATCCTTTACTCCTCTCTGATGTGGAGGTACCTGCTCTTCACACTGATAAAACCTTTAGTTCTCTCAGGACAGCGACTTGAAAGTAAATTCGGGGATTTACATATACATATTAATCAATTAAAACCTACTAACTGATTAGAGATTTAACAGCATCCTAGGCTTGTTTAATACATCTCATCAGTGGTGTGACCTTTTGATCTTTTACTTATAAATTCTGTGTCCGATACTAACCTCTCTCACTAACACTTGAAAGAAGGAGTGAGGCTCCGAAAGCTTGTGTTTTCAAATAAACCTTTTGGACTATAACCTGGTGTCATGTGATTCTTTACTCCACTCTGGGAAGAGCACACGAGAAGTCATCTGTCTTTGCTCCATGCTAAGACTGTGTGTCTAACACGTGGCAAGTTTCAGTGAGGACTGTAATCATAAAAAGGAGATGTCTATTGCACAATCCCTTAATGGATTTGATGTGGGAGAACTCCCTTAAGATCCTGAGTCAATATGACCTTCTCCTTTCCCTCTCCATCTTCCAACAGCTTGTCCTTCTCTGCATTCTTTCTATTCATTTTCTGTCTCTGTCTCTCACTCATGCTGTGGGCTAAGAGGGACGAGAATTTTATGATGTAATGACTGGAAGCAGGTGATCTGAGCAGTTCTCTTAAAAGTCAGAACCATAGCCTTCACCATATGCAATACCACCCTCTTTGGATTTCAGCAACTTTAAATGACAGTACTATGAGCTATGATGTCCACTAACTCAGTAACAGCCAGCAGAAATTAGTCAGCAATTACATCAAGAACAGTAGTGGTCTGCTTTCTTTTATTGTGTGGTTTTATGCCCACATTCAAAAGTTTGGATTCAAGACAGACTGATCAAGGGGAAGCCAATGTCAAGTACTGTCTTTAGGCTTAGTCTTATTTCTAACACAGTTCTTTTCACATGTTGAGATAAATTGTACAATACATTGTGATCAGAGATAAACCAGGCTTTAATCTTACTTTTACGTTACTGAGACTACTCCATTAACTCTACTGCCTAATGCTAATCAGTCCACGCCACATACTACTC